GTTGCTAATAAAACACCTGGTGCTAGTAGTAGGTTCACAACTCGAGTGCCAAATAATCAACTATGCACGCGAGTTGTATTTTCTGCACCAACTTAAACGTGCCAAACTGCCCTCATCAGATCTTGTCCGAGTATATCAGAGTTAAATCCGGTCTTTTGTTGAATCTGCTTGTCCTGTGTGGCACCCCGGATTAAGCAGGAAACAATACAAAATAATCGAATCCATCCAGTTGAGGACACTTAGAATCATATTTCCCGATTTACCAAATGTCGGTTCTCTGAACGAGCGGCACATAGACCTCTGCCAATCATTCTTTGTGAAAAATTTTTAAAAAAATGACAGAGACAAGCTGAATTGCTTTTAACCTGTAAATTACGTAGCTAGTCAAATTTCTATGTACCAAAATTCAGAACCGAACGTTTTAAAAATACCTTTAAACCCTTTTCCTTATCAAACTATTAGTGGTCTGTGTTTTATTTTGGAACTCATCTTGGTCTTTATTGTTTATCTTTTAACTTTTGAGGATGGTGCTTTATTTATTTTTGAGCTCATTTTGGCCTCATTCTACATCCTTTATTTAATGTAAACTGTTTTATTTCGGAATTTTTATCCTAATCCAGTTTATGTACAACTTCAACCTTCTGGTTGCTATGTATTAATAAAGATATTATTATTATTATTATTATAACTACTTGGGTGGGACTATCAACACATATTTTGATAACTAGGGCGATGATTGTAGGGTGAACAGAATGAGATTGACATGCATAAATTATTTTTTTCCGAAAAGTTACTTTATCCAGGTTTCCTTGCATTGACGAAATACCTTAACCTTTTTGTCCGAGTAGATTTGCACGAAGAAGACATTTCTAGTGCCGAATACGTCAGTAAACCAGACACATTAAAAACGAAGAGACCTTGATCTTGATAGTGACAACATTATTATACAGAGCCAAAGGTCTTGTAGAGTCTATGAAGGACAAAAATATATAATTTATACGTGGGACATCATCAGCGAAAGCACGAACACGCACTTTTTAATGTTTACTTGTAGAGAGGAGACCAACAAGGTGACCTTTTTACCTGCAAATCGAGGTCTTGATTTCAGGTGTACCGGTGTGTGTGTGTGTGTGTGTGTGTGTGTGTGTGTGTGTGTGTGTTCTTTTCTGAATTTTTAAGCACTCTTGCTTTATAACACTTACAACTTGATTTATAGTCAATTTGACCTGATTCTATTCCAATAAAAAATATGCATTTAACAGCATTGTGCATGTTTTCATTCCATCATATCATCAGCTTTAATAAAATTTTAACTAGACTATTGCAAGAATAAGATAATACAGAGTGTCTTCTGTCTTGTGAAATAGTTTTTGGTTTCCATTAATAGAGCATTTACGTTAATTAATAACTAAGTATGTGCTTAATCAAAAGTCAGCAAGACCCTATATTTTATCACTTTGCGCAATCATGTTTCACTGCATTCCAGAACCCCGAGCTTTAGAATCTTGCAAGCGATTTTTTAAAAATGGGAGAAAATATTGTTTTGCTCTCAAGAGCGTCCGGTATTTGACAACGTATTTTTAATCGTTGGAAGTGCAAGTGGTATTCTTAATCGTTGGAAGTGCAAGTGGTATTCTTAATCGTTGGAAGTGCAAGTTCGCGCGCTCATTATACATGGTTTAGGCTTGAGCCATGTGATTGGAGGCGTACACTTCGCTCTAGACCTTTACATCCGAAAATTAACTGGAAAATGTCAATGGTTTTCCCCTAATCAGTAATATGCATGTTACTGTTGTGTTTACCTTAAACAAAATTGTTGTGAAAATCCCGATCTGTTAACACGTATTTGACCTGTAGATTTTTTAAATTATACCAATAAAACTGAAATCCACCACTGTGTTTCTCCATTGCGCGTCTCAAATGGGTGGGGGAAGGGGGTCATTGTTAGTCCCTGAATTGTTTTGGACATGGTATACCTCAGTAATCAAGAAAAAAAGCCTGGAAATCTCCATGAAATTATCAATATTTGCTATATAAAGATCTAGCGCCCACTGTCCGCCTTTAGGCAACCAGCACCAGTACGTGTCGCACGTATGAATCGCAAATTTGATTGCTTGATCATGTGTTGCGCAGCCCTGACACACCCCCATTGGTTTCTTGAAATAAGCCGCACTAATAATCCCCTCTTGATATTAGAATTTTGAAGAGCTGGATCATAATTCTAAATTGCGCCAAATGGCACCGATTGCCCTCAAAACACCGAACCCTTCACCAAGGGGGCAAGGGTCGGCTTTGCATCCGAGGACTGCCATTCTCAAAAAAATAAAAAAAAAAATAAAAAAAAAAACTGGAACCCCCCTTGAAATACTCCTGGATCCGCCCTTGTAGGACTACAGTAAACAAAGAGACGAAAGTTTAGAATATCAGCATATTT